ATAGTGCGGACGCCGCCGCGGTGTGTAGGGTATGCCGTATCATGTAGTTTTGTCGTAAGAGAGAAAGAAAGCAGAGAGCTAGAGCAGAAGACGAGAAGATCCGACGAGGAGAGAGAGAGAGAGGAGAGCGCGCGTGATTGCTGCGCATGCGTTGCGTGCGTAGCAGTGGCTGTGTGTGTGTGTGTTTTATTCAGAATGTGCAGTCGAAGTTCTCGCGAAACGCTGCTACCTGCACGTTCCGGCCCAACAATAAAACAGTTGCGTATCACGCATCATCATACATAATACGAAGAGCCGCTATCACGGCGCTAACGGATAGTTGGCGAGTTTGCGCTGCTAGTTTAAACACTCGCTTCCACTGGTGACTTCGCAAACATCGCTTTACGGCTACTTTTGCGAGACGCATCACGGGTCGCTGTATGTGTCGTGCACGTGTAGAAATATGTCATTTCCGTAGAGTGAATTCCCGAACCTAATCTACTCGTGTACGTGTAGGCCAAACTGAAGCAGTTTGCATGCTGAAGATGACTCGACTACCTACGTATATATACGTGTCTAGTCTACGCTAACCATTGGCTACGTTCAAGGGTTACGGTAGTCTGAGCCGTCAGCGTGGTGATCACACAACATTGAACATATCGCACGTTTCTACACGTCCAACATATAACACATGCCATCGCTTTGTCTGCCTTATAGGTTATACCATCGGACAAATTGTCGGTCATTTGTATTTGCGTCAAAGTGGAGTGAATCGGAGCTTATTATATAGATCGACGATCAATCGGACTGCGCTAGTATTAATGGTTAGTCAGTTACTGTCTCGTGTGGGGCATGCTGTGTAGTTGTGTCGATGACGTCTGGATGTGCGTAGATCTATGCTGGGACATTGGCGATGCAGAACTAGCATTCACAAATCATCGGCATTATGCATAACTGCCCTATATACTCCGTTAATCTAACATTCACACATTACGCCTACACCAAACGCTATTTGAGTAAATATTGTAGACGGCGGCACCACGTATGACCCATACCGTTACATATTATATATATATAATATATATATATATATATAGTATTATATATATATATATAATATACATATACATATATATACATAAAATATACATGATAAATATACAAGTATATGCGCTATAAGACCCCGATAAGACGTCACAGCTGAGTCCTACGTAGCGCTGCAGTGCATGCTATCGGCCAGCTGGATCTGCCCTCTATGTGTGTAGGGTGCCTCGCCGATACGGTGACCGGCAGACGTGCAGGACGGGGATGCGGCGACCATATCATTGCCCCTGCGGCCGAGGCTGCCTGCCATTCTGTGTGTTTCATTCGCTACGAGCAATCAACAACTGCTTCAGTTTCTGCGCTCACTCCGCTGCCTGCCAGGTATGGCGATCGCGCGCGCACCCTATCATCTCCCGAGCTGCCCCGCACACACCTATTACGCCTCCAGCAGCAAACTGCATGCAGCGCCCTTCGCTACAACTCAGATCACCAACTGCCACAAAGCTGCCTGGTACTATTTATTCAAGTGGCCGTGGAAGCTCCGGGCAATATCCAGCAAATGCAATCCAACTGGCGCGAAAAGGTCGGCCGCGCCAACAAAACATTAGAAATTTCTATGCATTTACATGTGTTTGGCTGGCGACATATACTAACCTTCCGAGCTGCTACCCGCCGCCGCATACAAAACATCCCACGAACAGATGGCGCTCTCGCTTTTCGCCCCTCAATTCACGCCCCCTCCCTCCCGTATCCTTAGTGTCACTACACCTGCTGGGCCCACTGCATGCAGTTGGCGCACATATACTAGCCTTCCCCAGCTGCCTGCGCGCCATATTACTACGCTTCTCGAGCTGCCCTGCCGCGCATATACTTACCTTCCCCGAGCTGCCCGCGGCACTATACTACCATTCCCGAGCCTGGCCCCTGCGCGCATATACTACCTTCCCGCGCGCCTCGCCGCGGCGATATACTTTACTTCCCGAGCTGCCCCCGCCTATATACTACCTTCCCCGAGCTGCCCGGCGCGCATTATAACTACTTTCCGAGCCTGCCCCGCGCTATACTACCTTGTACGGCCTTCTACTATTCGCGACGCCTGCTACGGCTGTACACCAGACGCAACTATCTATAAACCGATCATGAGTTATATTCTGTATTTGCTTACCTTCTGCAGCCGCGTTCGGCCTACTTAACGGCACCTCCTTTCCCCATTGTCAGTCTGTCGCTGCATCTCCCGTTGTCTGCTTCCTTTTGTTTTCTCTCCCGTGACGCCCGTTACGTGTCGAGCTGTTTGCCTCCAGCAGTTCCTTGCGGCGCGACAACTCGCTCGCCTTTCCCATTGAGCTAGCGTAGCTCCTCCCGCTTTGGTATCCGCATCTAGCCTTACCTCTTAGGTCACTGCCTTGCCTTCGGCCTCTGTTGTACTTCTAGTTCTGCCTCCGCCTCACATCCGCCTCTGCCTCCCGCGCTCGTGTTTCTGTCTCTGCCTTCCCCTCTGCCTTTATCCCTGTCTCTGGCCACTTATCTGCCCTCTGCTTCCCCCTCTGCCTCATGACTCTGACTCTGCAAAAAGTCTTTCCAATGATGTTTATCAGCTATTATCACTCTCAACCCTCATCCTTAGTGTCTGCCTCGCCCTCTGCCTCTGCCTTCTGCCCTGCTTCTGCCTTTACTTTCCGATTTTGCGCACCGGTTGACTTGGACTCTGCCTCTGCCTTCTGCCTTCCGCATCTAGCCTCTGCCTCTGCCTCTGCCCTCATGCCTCTGCCTCTAGTCTCTAGCTCTGTCTCTGTCTCTGCCGTCCGTCTCTGCCTTCTGCCTCTGCCTCTGCCCTCTGTCTCATGTCTCTCTCTCGCCTCCGTCTGCTGCTTCTGGTCCACTGCCTCTGCCTCTGCCTCTGCTCTGCCTCGTCTCTGCTTCTGCTTCTGCGTTCGCTTCTGCTCTGACCTCTGCCCACCATTAAGATCTGCCTCTGCGTCCGCTCTGTTTTCGCCTCCCCTTTTCGCTGTGTTCCGCATAGGACGCAGTCTTTCCTGCATCAGGTTTACTTCAGTAAACCTCAACGGCACCTGTAGTTGTCATTTACATCGCACCTGACCGAACAACATTTCCCAGTTCCATATGTTGCCCATCGCCGGGTCGACTGGCGCGCGGCGGTAGTAATGCATGTAGGAGCGTCATAGTCGATCGCTCATCTGCCTCCGCCTCACTCTCTGGCCTCTGCTTCACTTTCTGGCTTCGCCTCACCCTCTGTCTCCTGCTTACTTGCTGGCTCTGCCTCACCCTCTGCCTTGCCCTCTGCCCTGTTCCACGCATCAGATTCTACGTCATCCTTGCTTGTCTTTGCTATTCTGCCTTCACCTTCTACGTACTGGGTCATCTCTAGCCTTTGGCTGGCTATTCCTAATGCCACCTCCAAGCTGAGCTGACTGCATTTGATATCACGGTACCATTAATAAATCTGTTTTCTATTTTCGCTGTCTTCATGCCCCCCTTCTTCTGCATTCGTCCCAACCCTCTGGCCTTCTGCCTCTGCCTCTGCCCCTCTAGCCTCTGCTTGCCTCTGCCATCTGACCTCTGCCCTCTGCCTCTGTCTCTGCCCTCTGCTCTGCGCGGCTGTCGTCTGGCTCTGGCCCATGCCCTTCGTGTCTCTGTGTCTGCCTCCGCTTTCGCGACCCTGCCGATAGAACGAGACCTTCTCGCTGCCAGGGCTTTTCAGTAAACCCCAAGCGATATCGACACCTGTAGTTGTTCATTCGATTGCTCTCTGGCTCTTCGTCTGCAGCGCACGTCGTTTTCCCGTCCGAATGCTTACTCCGTCCTGCCAACCTGGCGTCGGTAGTGGGGTATCGTTATAGTGTACATGTAGGTAGTCGCCTACGCCAGTAGCCCCAGCCTATCGTTATTCGTCCCTATGCCATCCACTTTCCGCCCGCCTAACGCCAGCTCCGACTGAGTCATCGTTTGTGCCGCCTGGGCTGCTGACATAATCGGATGTGATCGTTTTGTCAAGCCTGTTGGTTCCGCCATATCCATTATCCCACATAGCTGCTGCTCGAAAACGCTGGAGAAGCGAAAATCAACACATGGATATTTTACCGGCGACGACGACGACCGATGACGATAACGACCGACGACGACGACGCACCGACGATAAAGAAGCGATGATGTTACGCCGACGCGACAAACGATGTACGCCAAAACGTGTTTGTCTTCTTACTAGTTTACGGAAAAGTATCGAGCTACGCAGAGTGATAGAGTATGCAGAGATAAACTGAGAAAGAGCAGACGAATATAGCAGCAATTAGTGCCGCCAATTATCAGCGGCAAAACAACGCACACGAAGTTGTGAGTTGCGTTCTGGAAAGACAACAGACGAAAAACCAGCACCGTGAGGCGTCTCCCTACCAGAGATGACGGGCTCATATTGATTCAGGCAGGCCATGCGACGCCTGAACACTCAAGCTGTTGCGAAGTCCAACGCGCCCTAACCAATAAGCAAGAAGACAAGAAAGAGAAGAGAGAAGAGAGAGGAGAGCAAAAAAGAAGAAGTAGCAGAAGCCAGAACGAACAAAACAAGTGTCGGCAAGAAAGAGAAAGAAAGAATTGGAACAAGCGAACCCCAAAAGCCAAACACGCCCAGAACGATGTGCTTGTGTGCTGCGACCGCCAAGCTCACAAGTTCAATCATAGAGCTTACATATTCTACGAAGTGCCAAACATGTCTCACCGCGCGGGAGACGAGACATCGAAGAAGCAAAACTTTGAATTCGCGCTTCATGGTTGTTTTTATCTCCGGCTTTGCAGAAAGATCGGCATGCCGCGAATTGCGACGCCAGCCCGTACTGCCAAAAAGGCACGCGGGTCGCGCAACCCCCTCCTCTTCCGTAGGCACGCTACACATCGAATACTGCCGGGTCACGCAGCAAACACTCTTTGGTATCAGGTTAAAGGCAAATCAGCAGGGCTATCATGGTGAATTTCAGCGTCACACGCATAGTCACACAATACGATCACACGATACGATCTTCGACACACACGCGCGCGCGCGCACACACACACACAACACACACACACACACACACACACACACACACACACACACGCACGCATACACACAGCCACAGAGTTTAGTATTCCCCTATGTTTATTATCCGCATAAATGCAAACGATGAAAGTCTGAAAGGCAGACGGCATACAGTGACTCTGTCGATCACAGCGCGCGATTGTAATATAAGCAGCAGCTGAACAGCTCTGAATAATACACGCGGAATGCCGAACGAGACATTCATACCGTTGCAGGCGAACCGGAAGACGAAAAGAAAAAAACAGAAACCGAGATGATCGGCGAGCAGGAGACAATGGTGAAACCGGAACCGGAACCAGAAGGCACTGGTGAACCAGAACCAGAAGGTACTGGCGAACCGGAACCGGAAGGTACAGGCAAACCGGAACCGGAAGGTACTGGTGAACCGGAACCGGAAGGCACTGGTGAACCGGAACCGGAAGGCACTGGTGAACCGAAACCGGAAGGTACTGGTAAGCCGGAACCGGAAGGTACTGGTGAACCAGAACCGGAAGGTACTGGTAAGCCGGAACCCAATAAAGGAGCATCCGCCGAACCAGAAACGACATCTATGCCGAAGTCTAAAGGATCGGGAAAAGGTATACAGATGAGCATATTTATGATATATTCATATTATTAATGATCATATTGTGCTAGCGTAGATAACGACGTAAATATGATTTCTGGACGATGGTTAGAGTTACTAACTATAACATATACTGTGCGTAAAATGGCGACAGAGTTTACAATGTTGCTATATCCATCTAACCTGCATCTGGGTCCGAAGTAAACATTATTATAGTAAAACATATATGTGGTATATCAATATTGTAGTATATATGGTATGGTATATGGTATGTTAGCATACATTAAACATTAAAAATAATAATTAAATTTTATCTATTTTCACTGCAGTGCATAGTTGTCCTAATAAGGGCGGGTTGTAAGCGATCATTTAAGTCACAGACGCTCGCTGCGCGCGGACCCGCCTCACAGATTTACAAAGCATGCCTATGATAAGCATTCTCTTTACCTGTCGTTACCTCCGCAGCTACCATTGCTAAACCACCCGGAGATCCACTGCGGAGTGCCGCAGCGACAGGAAAACCAGGTATGAGCATCTTTACAACACTGCTACTGCTCTAGTGGTTCGTCGTCGGTGTTAGAAGAGATACAGAGAGTCTGTTAGTTGCTTTAGTAATGAAATACGAAAAGGAGCGATCACGTGTCAAAATTATACGTCACTTATAAAATTAACGTCACTTAATATGAAACGCTAGATTTGCTTTTGCGTTTTTACTTTGTGTGAGATATTCTGATATATATATATATATATATATATATGAATATACAATCTAATTAAATAAATAAATAAATATAAATATATATATATACAAGAG